GCGGGGCCGGTGCGGGGCCGGTGCGGGGCCGGTGCGGGGCCGGGGCCGGGGCCGCTAGAGGTCAGTGCCGGCTCGGAGCAGCGGCAGCGGCGGCGCCGGAGCCCAGCCCCGCTCGGAAGAGCTGCCGCCCCATGCGCAGTGCCCGCATCCCGCGTCTCTCATCCCACGTCTCCGCATCCCGCAGACTTCATCCCTACATCCTCACATTCCCCATCCTGCATCCCCACAATCTCCACCAGCCTCGAGCCAGGGGAAAAGCCCCGTTGCTGCAGCAGAACCCGGAGCTGAGTCTCTTGGTGGGTGTCCCCGTGTCCCGTGGGTCACCGTGAGCAGGGGCTGCCAGCGCTCTCCCTGAGGCACATGGCAGTGAGATGTCTCCAAGCTGGGCTGTAACAGGCAAGGAGCTGACTGCCTCTGCCCAACAGGCTCTGGAGCTCAGTCACACGTCTGAGGTGGCAGCAGGGAGCCCCCAGTTCCCCCTGAATTGGTATGCCTGCCATTTTTGACTCACTATATTGTAACCTCAGACTTATTTGAGAAGTATCTCTGTCTCTTGGAACAAGCAGGGAGTGGGGAAGAGATGCAGCATAACTGCAGTGCAGGACATCACCGTGGCTGGAAGCATCAGCGAAGGGACTGCTGTGTCATGTCCTGCTCGAGAAAGCTGTGCCAGTGAAACCAGGTAATTTTGGAACTGGTGATGGGAAACATGAGTAGCCTGTGTGCACCAGAGTGACCCCAAGTTGCCGGGTGACCGCTGAGGAGGCACGGACATTTCCTGCGCCATGCTGGGTGCAGAGGATGCGCTGCGCTCTGCTGCTGTCCCGCCTGCCCGGCAGGCTGCATCCCGGAGCGATGACCTCATTTACAGAGCAGCTCTGTCCCTCAGCGCCTGACCTTGACTGTTTGCAGGCTTGTCGTTTATCCAGTGGAAAATCGATGAAAATTGTACAAACCTTGTGAAACATGATGCACTCAGACATTTCCCCGCTCTCGTCCCCCCACCTCCCATCCGTAGCTCACTGCTGCTCAAGTTAGCACACAAGTTAGGGGAAGACACAAGGAAACATTAAAGACTCCCACACACCTCAAACATGGCACACTGCCCTGAGAAGGACAAGTGACACCTTGGCAAGCATTGACCTGAGGGTCACAAATGCGTGAGAGGGACTCCATATGAGCTCCACAGTGCTGCTCTGGACAAGAAAGGCTTCATTCTCCCCCTTCACCCAGGCATCTATGACCCCTTAACCACTTTTTGTTTCAAGAAGAACTCACTTTTCAGAGAACACAAGTTGAAAGGAGGCCCACATAGGAGTTGGCATGACTGGGTGAGCATTGGGAGGCCCTGAAGCTCTCCATTGTGCTGTCTGGGGCTGCAAGCAGATCTGTCTGAAAAACTTTTTGCAAATGAGCTTGTGTGTGCATGTACAGACCTTCAGACCACGCGGCTCATCTTTTCTCCCGATTCCATTATTTCTTTCTTTGTGTGAACTAAACTTAGTCTCCACAGATAAGGCCTAACACCAAGCCCAGCCTTTCTCAACTACCAGAAACAACAAGCCAGGCTGGACCCCACCACTGTGCATCAGGTGAGGGCCCAGTCTTTGACTGTTACTGTGCAGAGATGTCACAAACCTTCGGTATCACACCTGGAGCATGTGCTTTGCTGCAGGCACAGGGCAGCGTATTGGCCACAGCACGCTGTCGCTGGATCTGCGGAGCACCAACACTCACTCAGAGCCTGGAAGCATTCAAGGGGAGGGAAGGATGTGGGATGGCAGAATGATACCACAGACCACACTCTGTGAGCTTCCTTACAACTCCCCGTGTGCTGGTTGCACACAGGGATAAGCAGGATTGCAGCAGTTTTAACAGGGAGACGGCAGCACGATTCAGCATCAGAGCAGGAGCACGGCACTCTCGAGGCACATTTGGGTTTAAGGAACGGGAATCAGCAGACTGTCAGCTGACGGGGAGGACGCTACCATTCTCCTGTGCCGTCACCGCCGTGCAGCATGGAACAGGCCACCGCATCCCGGCCTCCTCCGGAGCAGAGGCGCAAAGGATTGAGTCATCCTTGAATGTGAAGCCCCAGCTGGTCTGGGCACCGCAAACAAAAGGCATGAAAAATCAGTAACCACTTGAGTAAACAAGTTTTTCTCACCATCTCTCTGATCACAGCTCCGCTGGTTTGGCCGGCCGGTTTCCCGGCTGCAGCCGGTACCGGCCCCGTTTGACTCGCATCCCCCCGAGTGGCGGTGACACTGCAGGGGCACACCGCCGCTGCCCTCCCCAGACACAGAGCCCCCCGGCCTGACCCGCCGGGGCTGCTCGGGGGGCCCCGCGCCCGGGGCCGAGCGGGCGGCGCCCGCGGGACCCTCGGGGCAGCTGCGGCCTCGGGTTCAGCACCGCGGACAGCGGCGGGGAGGGAGCCGCGCCCCGCGCCCCGCGCCCCGCGCCCCGCGCCCCGCGCCCCGGGGAGCGGCACCCGGCCGCAGGAGGCTCGGGGAAGCGGGAGGGGGCCCCGAGGGTCCCGGGGAGCTGAGCCCCGCTGCACCGGGGATCCCGGGGAGCTGAGCCCCGCTGCACCGGGGATCCCGGGGAGCGGCGCCCCAGCCGCGCTGCGGCTCCCCCGGCGGCGGCCCCGGGCCGGGTGTGTGCCCGCGGCCGCCGCCGCCCGCCCCGGCGGAGCTCCCCAGTTCCGGTCACGTTGCCGCCTGTTTACGGGCGGCGGGGCCGGGCCGGGCGAGGCGGGGCCGCCGCAGGCAGCGCGGGCAGCGCGGGAGCCGGCGCGGCCCCGGCGCGGCCCCGGCCCGGCCCGGCCCGGCCCCGCCGCCCCATGACGCCCAGCGGGCGCCCCTTGGGGCCCCGCCGCTCCCCCCAGGTAAGGCACCGGCCGCGGGGCCGCGGGGCCGCGGGGCGGGCGGGGTCCCCGGGCCGGGGCGGCCCCGCAGAAGTTGCCCGCAGCCCCGCCGGGTCCGTTCGAGAAGTTGCTTCCCCCGGTACGTGGCCCCGCCGGCGGTCTGTCCCCGCGGCCCCCCGAGCCCTGCCGGGCTCTGCCGGGACCCCCGAGCCCTGCCGGGCTCTGCCGGACCCCCCCAGCCCTGCCGGGCTCTGCCGGGCTCTGCCGGGGCTCCCGAGCCCTGCCCGGCTCTGCCGGGCTCTGCCGGGCCCCCCCAGCCCTGCCGGGCTCTGCCGGGCCCCCCCAGCCCTGCCGGGCTCTGCCGGGCTCTGCCGGGCCCCCCGAGCCCTGCCGGGCTCTGCCGGGCCCCCCGAGCCCTGCCCGGCTCTGCCCGGCTCTGCCCGGCTCTGCCGCCCGCTGCAGGGCACGGTGCCGGCACCGGGCAGTGTCGCTGCCCAGCCCCAGGGTGCGGGCGGCACCACGGGCTCCCCCGGCGGGAGGAGGATTGGCCCGGAGCGGCGGCGATGGTTCCGCTCCCGGAGCAGAGCTGGATCCATAGCGAATTCCCTTGGAGCCGGGAGGAGAAAGCACGAACTTGCCTTCATCCTCCGCAGCCTCTTGACAAGCGTCACTGGGGCTTTTCTTCAGGCGGTTGTGCTCAGAGAATTGCAAGAAACAATAATTTATAATCATCATCTGTATTGATTTTATCTGTAAATAGATACTGGCAGATAATGAATAGCAAACAGCACTCCAAGTGTAATTCTGCCTCTGCTGAGATCAGGGAAGGTTTCCCACTGACTTTTCCAAGGCCAGGATTTCACCTCTGGTTTCTATTCCTGGCATCGCCACTGCCTCTGTGACCTTCTGCAAGTTTCTGAGCTTCCTGCTTGCCTGATTTCCCTACATTTAAAGACATACTAGCTTAGTGGCACTGCTGCAGTTCATATTCTTTGAGCTGTAAATACCAAGCACTATGGATTTCTAGTGTCTATCAGTGTTTATTCCTGCGTATGTTTTAATGTGATGGAGAAGGGGTTGCTGGCAGCCACAGCAGGACAAATTATCGACCTGTTCCTGCAAACCTCATGCCCTCTGACTCTCAGCTAATTTGCCATTTATGGCAAATAATAATCACAGACAAGGGCCAGACCGTGGTGTGAGGGTGTGTGTTCAGAGGTATGTGGATATGCAATACTGCATCCCCCTTTCAGATGCATCATTGGGATGGAGGGTTTTTCTTGGGTCAAAGTTTTGGGATTATGGTTTACATTGAACAGCAGACTTAAGCAGAGTTTTGCCCTGGAAGCAAACTCTCAATCAACCTGTCTGTGCAAAGGAAATCAGCTCATGGTAGACTTGCAACTACATTGGTCATTGTAGCTGCTCCAAGAGGTTGCTTCAGTCATTTTTGTTTGTGAAATCAGAATTTGATAAATTGGGATGAAATTGTAAATCTCACTGGGGTTTTCCACCAGCACTTTGTAAGAAGATCAGGACTCCCAATATGCTTGTGCCAAAGGTCATGGTTGCACAGTGAAAGCACAAGAAGTGCAGAAAAAAGTGTGGCTTAGAGGCAGGTGCACAGGAAGGCTCAGCAGTCGAGACCATGCACACGGTCACTCCACGTGGGGAATTGGAGAGGGCTGAGCCCAGTGCTGCCTCATCAATTCTGTGCTCAAAATCTTGGGGGATCAGCAAGAGAACCTCATTCCAGCAAAGCTCTCGGTGGTGGAGTAAAGCCCTATGGATGTCCAGTCCCCAAAATTGGAGAGAACCGTTTAACCAGAGCTCTGCACGGAGCAGGGGCCAGCTGAGGCTGTAGGTGTCACCTTTGAATAGGGGCAAACCACACTGCTCTCCTGACTGCTGCCTCCTTTGCTGCTGTGTATGCACACGTACAACTCTCAGAAGCACAAGGGCACAGAGCATCCATCAAGCTAAAGAGGACTACTATCACTTACTCTTGGCTTTTGTTATGAATGACATTGTTTTCTAGATTTGTAACCTCATACGTAACTCGTCAAAATCACAGAGTGCACGGTCACTGTGAGAGCTTCCACCACCAGTTGCCTTGGCATCTTAGAGCTGGTCTGGAAAGGAGAAGTCACAGCTACAGCAGCGAGGGAGGGATGAGAGTGGGGGCACCCAACCGTGTCCCTGTTCAGTGCAGTACAACCATCCTTTTGGGAGCACACTCACCCAGGAGCTGCCACCTCCTGGGGCAGGAGCTGGTGGGAAGAACAGCCCCACTCATCATGCTTTGGCTCCCGTGTCTGTGGCACAGGGTGCAAGTTCCTGCCATGGTTCACTGCACAGGCTTTTGGTCATCACCACTGTGGGTGTTCTGAAGCCCTCGGCACAGGGAGTTTTGGTGTTGCCAGCTGGGAGCTGCAGTGACCCTGGAAGTGTTAAATCAGCCAGCAGCAGCGGCTAATCCTTATTAACTCCCAACACCGCCCAGGCTCGAACTGTGTGAATGACAGAAGGCACACTTCAAACTAAAGGCTCAGGATGCTCCTGCAATCCCACTTGCCTTCAGAAGCATTGGAGGGAGGATGCCAGCTGTTGAGAGTTTGGTTCTGAACTCCCTTGGGGTAAAAGGTGGACACTGCCTTGGTGATGCAAATGCTCATCTACTGCCCTCTGGTAAAATTAGGGACACTCCAACACTGATGTTACTGAAGCCTCAGGATGAGATTGCATCTTCCTTAACAGCTGTGGCTGTTGCATCATCACCTGTGAGGCAGAGCTGTGTGACCTGCAGAGGGGACAACATGGCCCTCCCACGGGGCTGCAAATGGTGAACAGAAGCAGCCTCAGGTCCCTGGAATCCCTGGAGAGCTCTTCCCCTCACTGCTCTTAGCAGCAGCACGACTGTTTCCAGCATTGTCCTCATTTCCAATGAAGGCAGCTCCTGCCCTGCTTGCCTCTGTGTCCCACCCCTGCCTTGCTCCATGCCCTTAGTACTGGTGGGAGGTTCATGGCTAAACAAAACAAGGTGCTTGCTCCGCCCTGTGGGGCTGCAGATGTTCCTGCCACAAGCTGAGAGCTGCTCCTCAAGAGAAAACATTAAAGTCATGTTGGACAGGCAAAGCTGATTCAAACCCACTAAGGACTTCCCATTGCAATTCTGGAGACAAACATCTCTTCCCACATGCACAGGTAAATTATGAAGGCTCTTAGCTTCCAAATTAGAGACAGATCTCAATTTCAGATTTTTTTTTTCTTTGACTTTTTTTGCTGCTTGAAATCTACCAACTATTTTCAAAGGAAAATATTTTCATTGCTTAAAAAAAAAGAAAACAATATCCTACTTAAGGGGAGAAGGGAAAGTTCAATGGAAAAATTGCAGCCATTTCTACTAAAGACATTTCTACTAGACAGAACAAAGTGCTTGAAAATAGCAGTATGTGTCCCCTGGGCTTTGACCAACCTACTTTCTGATGTTTCCTGAGATGAGGAACACAACTCCCATCAAGAAGCTCAGCCCACCCTGGCCAGGGCTGGCAGGAGGATGTACCCATGGTGTAGTTTGCATTCCTGGTCTCTGGCAGATGCCAAATAACTCCCATAACTCTTGCACTGGCTTCAGGACATATGGTCCTCCAAGGAGGATTGCCCAGCCAGCCCCAGCCCCTGGCACAGCTGGGTTTGACACTTTCCATAAGGACAACTACAGGACAATGCACTTTGGATCATTTCTTTGCCAGCAGGGTGGGTGCTCAGCTGTCCCCAACCAGCCTGCACCCCCACCTCATCAAATACAGGAACATGGAGACCTGATTGTAGAATTGTCACAAATCTACACAGCCTTTGGCTGGAACAAAGCTTTGACCTTGGAGCACTGCCAAGACCACTTACTGAGGGATTGACCTTAAATGCATTCTGGCTGCAGGAATTGCAAAATGCCCTATGTGACCATGCCAGGGGTGCTGGAACAGTGAGCCACAGTGGTTCTGCAGTTTCTGTAGAGGGAAAACTAGAGTCAGATGTGGGAAGCAGGTGCCCAGGGACAGAATGATGCACTCCATCCCTCAGGCTTGTGGTACAGCATCTCCCCATACAATCATTTAGTTTGGAAAAACCTCTCAGGTCATTGAGTCCAGCCACTCTGCCAGGTTACCTTGATTTGCTGCCGCTTCCCTCCTTCTGGGCTGTGTGTAGGGAGCAAGGACAGATTCCACACACCACAAAATGGTATTTGCTGGCATAAAGGGTTCTTTCAGGGGCTATTTTTACCTCTCTGTGCAGAAGAACAGGTGGACAGCTTTTGCAGCTGCTTTGCTACGGCCATCGATGGTGTGGGGACAGACCCCCAGCCCAGCTCAGCACCCTGGCACAGCCTGACAGCAGCTCTCGTCTGCCAGGCAAATTACCAGGGAAGATGTTCCTTCTTCTGGAAGGCAACATGACTCTCCCCGCCATGCAGTGCTGATCGGGTTAGACAGAGCATATTGTATTTTTCATGTGCTGGATCGCTCGCTGCACTTGCTGCTGTGTAACGTGGGGCTTGTCAAGTGAGAGCCAAAATTGTCTCTTGTGCAACTCCCACCTGGGGACAACGAGGAGCAATCCTGTCCCAGATGCATCCTACTCAGTGATAAAGTATTTCCTAGGGCCAAATTCAGAACAGACAGGCGTGCTATGATGCCAGGGTTCATGCAGCAGGATTTTCTGCCTGTGCAGTCTGAGCAGGCAGGCCAGGAGCTGGCCCCAGAGGCACTGGAAGGTGAGAGGGCTGAGGCCATTCCCTGGGCATCAGCTGGGCAGGGCTGCTCTGCCCACACAGTCCCCGTGGAGAGGGTTGAGGAGGGGAGGCACCACCCTGCACCTCTGTGAGGAGCTCTGCCCCTCACAAGCCCAGCACACTGCTGTTTGATCACCAGCCACCTCCACTCCCTGCAGGCCTGGACTGGGAATTTGGTTGCGATGGAGACCGTGTCCCTGGAGCACCAGATCCAGAGTGTGCAGCGGCACATCGCTTTCCTGAAGAAGGAGCAGATGGAGCTGCTCCACGACCTGCACCTGGAGATCCTCCGCTTGCAGAAGCACTGCACAGGTGAGCGCTGGGGCGGCATGGGGAGTGGAGCTGGGTGCTCACAGAGCACCTTGGGCAGGAAGCTCCTGCTGGCACCTTGGGCACAAAGCTCCTGCTGGCACCTTGGGCAGGAAGCTCCTGCTGGCACCTTGGGCACAAAGCTCCTGCTGGCACCTTGGGCAGGAAGCTCCTGCTGGCACCTTGGGCACGAAGCTCCTGCTGGCACCTTGGGCAGGAAGCTCCTGCTGGCACCTTGGGCACGAAGCTCCTGCTGGCACCTTGGGCACAAAGCTCCTGCTGGCACCTTGGGCACGAAGCTCCTGCTGGCACCTTGGGCAGGAAGCTCCTGCTGGCAGCCCGGGGTGCTCACTCGGGCGCTCGGCAGGACAGAGAGGCTGCAGTGCAGGCTGGAGCCCTGCCCAGCTGTGCTGCGGGTGCACAGCTGTCCCCACAGCCCTGCTGCAGCAGTGTCACACTCCCCTCAGCCACCCCTGCAGGAGTGACGGCTGCCCAGCCTTCTGCCACCACTGGAACTCATTCTAGCTTGTGCTGCTGCTCTCATCAATAATTCAGCCATAGCTAATTACTCCTTGTCTTCCAGCCTCCCAGTCTCCCAGGTTCCTGGGAAACAAAGAAATGTCTGCACTGATAAAATTGGCTATTTTTCTCCATCCTTTCTGAGCTTTTGCTGTTCTGTTTCATTGTTTTAATGTTTTCATCTATGGCCTCTTTAGGCAGGTGAGACAGTGGGGTTCTCCTGCCGAAATCAAACCTGAGAGACCTGTCCCCATGGCCTGAAATGAGCCCACTGCATGGGTGATCTCCACTTCCCAGTGTGACCCAAGGACAGTCATATCTGACCAGAGGGGTCCAGTCCTCCTGGGTGAGGTGTGTGGTTCTGCCAGGACTGCCAGGCAGCCTCTGGGCAGTTTTAAGGAGACTTCCCTGACATTTGAGTGTCATTATCTGGGGGGCTGTTTGCAGGAGGAGAGTAGTCTTTAAGTCAGTTTTTCCTCAATGTGGCCCTGTGGAGCCTTGCTTGCTGCCCTGGCACTGTTGTTTCTGGCTTTTTCACTATTCCCTTGGTCTCTCTGAGGTATCCCTGTGGGAAAGGCTCTCTCTCCCACAGAGGTGCTTCTCAGCTGCCCCTCAGGGGTCATGGGGATGGTACTGAAGCAGATCAGCACCAGCACCTTGGCTCCAGAACAGAAACTGGGACCCCAACCTGTGCATCATCCCTACACTTGCTCAGCAGGATGATTTCTTTGGAAATAGGCATCTGCTTTGGTTTGCATTTGAAATATATCTGAGACTCCAGATGTATTATTTTAGCTTCAGAAAAATAGCACAATGGCCATTGATTCCCACTGGGGCAGTCGAGAGTGCTGAATGCTTTCCAGAAACTGCATTATGGTCTCAGGTACTTCTGCCTTCTCACTACAGATTTGTTTTCCAAGACAGACAGGCAGAGCAGCCTGAGACAAGCTTGGGTTTCAGAAGGATGGCAGTGATGGGATTAGAGTCAACACAAAAGCAGATTAAAAGAAAAATGTAGGGCAAAGATTAACCATTTGAACTCATTTTCAGGAGCAAAAATAACCCCCAAACAGCTGTATGCTGCTGCTACTGCTCTTTTCCTCTGCTCAGGGCTGTTAGTGGTTGTGTGGGCTGTGATAATTAATTCAAAAGGGACTGTCTGCAAGAGTGCAGGGTAAAGTGAATTCCAGAAGGTCCCTGAGCTGCCCTTTGTGACCTGGTGCTGTAGCAGGGGGCTAGACAGCAAGCAGGCAAAGGGCAGCAGAGAGGAGGCAGCTTGCTGGGGCTGAGCAGGCAGGTAGGTACTGCAGCTCCTGAGATTTGGAAGGGATTTGGAAGTTCCACATTGCCCTGGAGCAGGGCAGCATCCTCCTGCACGCACATCGTGCTGGGAAGGGGCCGTCCCCGCTTGCGTCACCTGCAGAGGCAACGATCAGCCTGGAGCAGTAAATTTTGCAATGCTTTGGGTGGAAGCTTATGCTTTGGTCTATTTTCAATCCATTGCTCTGCTCTTTTCTTGGTTTACAGCACTGAAAATGGTTCAGCAATTCTTTTAGAAAAAGGAAAGGCATTGTCAGAGGAGCAGAGCATCCTGCAGACGATGTCTTGGCCATGAGGCTGCTTAATAACATATAAATTGCCAGAATTGCCTATTTTTGCTCAAGCTGTGGCTAGTGCTCCAAGATAGCCACACTCCCTTGAGGGCTGGGCAGAGAGCACTGCAGCCACAGTTGTGTCCAGTGCCCCAAAGGGAGTAGAGGAAGACTTGGGGAGCACAGAATGGGTGGGATGCTCCTCCTCAGTCCTGCTGGATTTCTCTTCCAGAGCTCACCCATGACCTGGAGATGAAAGAGCTGGAGGCCCGCCAACAAGGTAAGAGCACAGCTTTGGGCACAAGGTACGGGGGAGCAGGTGTGGGTGCAGAAGAGCCTGTGGCCAGAGGGGCCCATCAGGGCTGCAGGGAGGGACAGGGACCTGGCTGAGGGCAGGACTGGGCAGGCAGCGTGCACAGCTCCTGGCAGCAGTAACTCTGGTGATGCCCGGGAGCCCCGTGGCCGGCAGAGGCTGCTCTGTGAGCAGCCTGGCTCCTCTCCTTCCTCTGTCCCACAGATGGAACTGAAACTCCTCCCTGGCGCTGCCTGGGCACGGTCCCTGGCACCGAGCCCCAGCCTGTGCTCTGTCCTCGGTGCCAGGGCAGCCGGTCCCAGGGTGGGTGTGGGCTGCTCTCATGGGGCCAGCGGGGTCCCTGACGCAGTGCCATGGCTGGCTCAATGGGAATTCCCAACTCCCAGCCCCTTCCATGGAGCCAGGGGTCCCTTCTCTGTACCCGTGGGCATTTCTGGCTGAGGGCCTGGTGCCCAACCCACCAGGTGCCATCGGGGTGTCACCAGCCACAGCTCAGCATCACCCATCGTGCCTGCCCATCCTTCAGCCTTTTAGAGCTACACAATCACTTTGCCACATTTATGGGACAGCAGCTCATTTACAATGCCATCAAATGATTGCTCTCCTAATGCCATTCATGCAATAATTACTGCCTGCAACCGCCTCCCTAAACCTCATTATAAAGCTGCAGAAACACTGAGGAGCTGAGGCTGTAAGCAGCTGCCAATCACATCATAAAAAGCAGATTATTGCAGAGGATGGGAGCAGGCCTGGGCAGGCCAGGGAGTGCAGGCAGGTGCCAGCCTGCACCCTGCCAAGGGCTGGGTGCTGGAGCAGGCAGCCAGGGCTGGGGTCAGGACTCCTCAGCCCTCCTGCTGCCCACTGGGCTTGGTCCTTGAAGCCCAAGCTGCGAATTCCCCAAGCTGCCTGGCCATCCTGCCCCAGGACAGCATTCCCTAGAACTCGCTCCCTTGTCCCAGGATGGAGGCTCCTTCCCTGCTGAGCGCATCCCAATTCCTCTGTAATCTTGGATCAGCATCTCCATCCTGGCTAACTAGGCTTTGGAGTCCCACGGCTTGAGGCCAAAAGTCCCTCCAAAGTTGGGCTGATGGTTTCCCTGCGCCAATTCCTTTTCTCTTCCAGCCTGTGTGCTCCCCCACACCCTCTGCACACATTCAAAGTCACTTTTAGGGTGAAAAACTACTTACCTAGGGAAATTTTAAAACTGCAGCAAGGTAGAGGCAGCAGGTTCCATGGCAACAACATCCTCCACTGACACTGCCTTTTGCTGCCACCCCGCATTTGGGTGTTAAACGTGGCACTGTGCCAGCGGCCAGTGCTGGGGTTCCTGTGCCTGCACTGGCAGTGAGCCCGTGCTCGGGCAGCTCACAGGGAGTTCTCTCACAGCTTCAAGCAGCACCCAAGCAGCCTCAATGGCACTGCTGGGACATGCTGGCACCATGGAGTGGGCAGCAGCCACGTCCATGCTGGGAGCGTGCGAGGACCTGCCAGGAGCAGCAAGGCTGAGCCCCGCTCCCCCTCCTGACCCCTCTGTGCCTTGACCTACAGACGTCCTGGACCGCGAGCTGGAGGAGAAGTGCCGGGCGATGGAGGCCCAGCTGCAGGAGAAGGAGAAGGACAACCTGGAGCTGCGCAAGGAGCTGCAGCACAAGGAGACGCTGGTGGCTGCGCTGCGGTCCAGCCTCCGCAGCAAGGAGCGCCGGTTCCTGGAGGAGCTGAAGCGCCGGAGCCACCGCGTCACCATCCTCGACACGGAGCTGCAGAAGCAGACGGAGGCGGCCGCCTACCTCTCCCTGCAGCTGCACGCCACGGCCCAGCGGCTGCCGGGCCCGCGGGCAGGCGGGCGGCCGCCCCCCGAGCAGCCCCCGGCCGAGGCGCGGCCCCGGCGCCGCGGCCACCGGGCTCGGCACCCGCCCGGGGACGGCGCCCGGCGCCGGGACCCCGCGCCGGAGGAGCACGATGCCATGCCCGACCCGGCGCTGTTCCTCTACACGCAGCGCCCGCCGCCGCAGCCCCCGGGCCAGCCCCGCGCCCCGGCCGCCGCCGCCGCCGCTCCCCGGGGCCAGCGGCACCCCCGGCAGCCCCCGCAGGAGCCGGCGGGCAGGGCCGGGCCGGCCAAGGGCGAGCCCAGCCGGCGGCAGGGGTCCGGTGCCCACGGAGCCCCCCGAGCCCAGGAGTAGGCGGCGAGGGGACGGCGCGGCCGGGAAGGGCTGAGCCCGGCGGCACCGGGGCGGGCCGGCCGCGGCTCCTTCCCCCATCCCCTCGGTGGAGCCGAGAGCGGAGCCCTGCACGCACCTCCCGCCCGCCGGCAGCCAGGGAGGGTCCCCTCTGCCCGAAAGGGCTCAGCCGGGGATGCTGCCGGCGATGCTGCGGGACAAGGGAACATCCAGCACCCGGGCTGTGAAGGGGACACGTCCGAGCGCCTGTCCGGAGCTTGAGAGGAAAAACAGAGAGAAAGAAAGAAAGAAAGAAGAGGAAGCATTTTTGAAAGGAGATTTTCCTGATGTTGCTGCTGCCTCCGAGTGGGCGCCGGGTTGCGTTCCCTGGCCCGGCTGCGGGGGGTGGGTGTGCAGCAGCAGTAGGCTGTACAGCACATGGCTCGGCACTGCGGGATGAGCCCAGCCCGGCTCCAGCCCTGGCCATCACCGGCACCGGGCACTGCAGAGGGCCCAGGACATCACCAGGAAGGTTCTCCAGAACGCAGACAGCTGAATGAGGTCGATCCGTGTGGGACAGAGGGATCCCCTTCCGCAAGGACAGTGCTGCTGTGCTGGCCAGGCCTGTCCCACGCTCCCCTGTGCAGCGGTTTGGCTGTCTCCAGCACAGATTTCCCCTTATCACATTCACACACAGGACTCGGACAAGGCAGCTGGAGAAGTGCCGAGACTGGCAGTCCTGCTGGACACTCAGTGGCTCCTCGGCCGCTGCAGCTGGGCTCCAAGTGCTGCTGGAGCAGGGCTGCACCCTGTGCCCCCTGCACAGGGCTCTCCTCAGCACCAGCATTTTGGATCGCAGTCACACCCACAGCCAGGTCTGGGCTTGCTGCTGAGGGCTGAGCAGTCCCCGGTCCTCCCCCATTGCCTCCCATCCTTCTCAGCACAGCGGCCCTACAGCTGCCTTTGCCCCGTTGGGGCAGCCTCACCCCATTTCCAGCCAAACTCAGTTTTACAATCACTCCCGGGGTATTGTGAAACAGCGCAGGGAGGAGAAGGCTCTGGCGGCCAGGCAGGGCAAAGGCCACTCTGCCCCGGTGCTGCCGGACCTGCTCAGGGCAGCTCAAGGAGCAGGTTTTGCCCTGGCATGGGGGCTGCCAGCCTGGCTGGCCCAGCCAGGACTCGGCCCCTGCCTGCAGCCCTGCCAGGCTGGTGGGCAGCAGCCTCCCGCAGGACCCTCACTGCCTCCGCGGCTGGTGTGGGCAGGAGGGAGCTGCAGGGTGACATCAGACACTGTTTCCTTCCAATTCAGTTTGACATCTCTTGAAAGACATCACCCTCATAGACTAGCGAGGTTTGGCCTGCCTGCTCTCACCCTCAGTGTGCCCGCGCAGTCAGAGCTGTCTATTTTTGTAGTTCAATATTTATATACTCTATTAAAATGCTTTATGAGATTGACAGCAGCAGTCGCCAACCAGCTCTTTGGTAAAAACAAACCCCAAAGCATATGAGCTGCACTAGCAGGACAGAAATTAGCAGCTTTTGTACTTTTTCTTTGGCTGTTATGTGACTAGTCAGGCTTTGGAGGGCAAGACCCCTCGTGATCTCCCAGGGCACCCCTGAGGCTAGGGACTCCCCAGCTGCTCCCACGGTCCCTAACACACCCCTGGGTTTGGGAAAGTGCCCAGCAAAGCCACGCTGGGCAGGGCCCCCCTCACAGCGCTCAGGCAGCAGCCTGGCCTGAAGCCAGCCAAGGTGTGCAGCTCCGGGCCATGAGAGCTCTAGTGGGAAATGTCTGCAGCCGCCGAGGCATCTGGAGCTGCTGCCTCGGCGGCGCAGAGCCCCTGAGCCCCCAGCCTGCCGCAGCCGGGGAGGCTGCAGGAGCTCCGGCAGGGCGCTCGGCCGTGGCTGCGGAGCTGCACATGCCCCGGTTGCCCGCACAGGTTGGGCATGTGCAGGGCAGCACAGGGGCTCTGGTAACGCCCGCTGGGCTCTGAGCGCCGGGAGCAAAGCCCCGAGCTCCCCAGCAAGGCTGCAGAATGCTCCCTGCCGGGTGGCCCTGCCGGCTCTGCCAGCCCCAGCTCCAGGCTGAGCTGGCTGTGCTGGGGCCCTGCTGTCCCCCACCCACAGGGCAGCGAGGGGAGGTTGGCGAGGGGAGCAGCCCCAGGGCTCCGGCGTCGGAGTGCTGCGCCCATGAGGCACTGTTGGCCTCTGGAAATTGCTGTTTCTCTCAGGTTCTGGGAGGTTCTACTGCGGATCTGTCTCTCCTGTCGCAGGGTGAAAAAGGCAATGCCTGTCCCTGTGTGCTTGGCTGTTGCTGCAGCTGTGATGTGCACAGCCGCTTCCCATCCTTCCTAGACAATCCTGATAGACACAGTATGTTGCATCTTTATTACAAACTTCTTCGTGAGATCATGGTGTTTATGACTGAGCATTGAAAAGTGGAGGGAGAAGTATGATCCTTCTCCTGTGTAAATACCTTCCTAGCAATCATCATCCGTAGTGCCTAGTATGTAAATGAAGCAACCCTGTCTGCGCTGCAGGGCCCTTTCCTCTCCACCAGTAATTAGCAGCTTGCTCAAGGAGTTGATCTCATTCCAGTGCCCCATGCCGGTCCCTCCCCGGTGCTCCCGGTGCGGGTGGGCAGCTGGGCAGGTCTGGAGCCCCGGGCGGGCACAGAGCCGCCTGCAGCGAGGGGGGTTCCCAAAGGGATGGAGAGCAAGCACCCCAGTTCCCCCCTTCATGCCAATGTAATGTGCTTGGAAATTAGTTGTCAGGGTGAGCCCTGCACTTTTCCTTGGGCACATTTGCCTTGGAGCAGGAAGGATCAGCTCTTGCGTGCTGTACCTGCTTCAGTCACTGCTGCTTTTCTTAGGGGGGAGGGAAGCTCTAGAGATACTATATATACACTTATATATATATATATATATATATACACACACATACATGCACTTGTTTTGAAGGGAAAATACTGTATGATTGTAATAGAAATAATGTTGAGATAAATTATTTTAATCTTTGTATTTATATAAAATGATCAAAGAGATCAAAATGATAAAAAAAATCAAAAAGACAGTATTCCCATTTTTTACTGAGAAGGCTGCTGGAGCCACCAGGAGCCTGAGAGCCACTGGGGCCCAGGCAGGGCCTGCCCTCCCCTCCTGGAGCGGGGGTCTCTCATAGACTCCCCACCTCGCACTGTAAGCTTGCCCTTAGCCTGTAAGGTGCAACAGGGACCTGTAGGTGCATTTAATCTGTGCTCTGCACTCCTCGGGAGTCCAAAGGGCGCACACAGCTTCCACCTGCGCCGCGCGCCTGAAAGCACAGACTGAGGAGCGCCGCCGCCAGCACCGATGGAACGGGCAGTGTTTGATGTGACTCGTAAAGGTTAATGATTACACTGGACATGGAAGCATAGCAATAACGCTCGGTTGTTAAACAACGTCTTGTGTGTGTAAACCAGCACGTGCTGAGAGCTGTCTACAGACTAACAGCCGGGCTCCTCTCCTCTGCACCCCCTTTTGCTCTGTAGCTCTGCAGAGGTGTATGGATTGAATGTGTCTGGTTTGCTAATATTCTCTTCCTTATTGTCATTATTGTTATATTATTATTATTATTATTATTATCATTATTTTTCCTAATGCTATCTGAGAAAGTGATGTCTCAGATGCACCTTGCAGCAGGTGTGAGGTGAGCAGTGGGTGTGGGAAGATGCACTTGCTGTGGCAGGGCCAGTCCTGGCAACGGGGTGCATGCTCCCCTGGACTTATTTAACCCTGGGCAGATTAGTCAGGAAGTTCTTCTTCTTGACTCTGTTAACTAAAAAGCCATATTTTCTGAATGTGTTTGCTAGGGCTAATCTAAGCACTCCCAGCCGTGTTCTTCCCATCCCCACTAGGCTCCCAACCTTCCCACTGCTGTTTGGCTGTGTGCTGAGACAGTCGGAACTGGGGCCAGGCCCTGCTGGCTTGCCGGGGGCAGTTCTGTGAGTCGCCTGTGGCAGGCAAAGCCAGGTTCACGGCCCAGCTGGTGGGTGCTCTGCAGGGACGCAGGGTGCTCTTTGCTGGGTGCCCAGGAGCGGTAGCGGTGACACAGCAAGAAACATCCTGCCTGCAGTGGCTGGAGCCAGCAGTGTGAAAGGATTGCTCTGCTTTTCCCAAGCTCTCCCCAAGCTCTACACACTAGGAAGGTAAATCAGCAGCACAACAAGGGACTTTGATTTTTGGGGGTTAGGTGAACATTTCAGAGTCCTTGTGCACAGCCTTGTGAAGTGGCTCCTGCTGCCCCAATGAAGCCACACCATCCTGCCTTTGCTAGAACACCAGCCCTCATGTCCCAGCAGCCCTGACGAGCCAGTCTGGCTGCAGTGACGCTGCAGCTGCCTCGCTGCACGCCTGTTCTTGTCACTGTCTTGCACTGTCGGCGCCTGGCTGCCAACAGGACGGGAGAGAACTCCCTTACGCCTCTAGGTTGCCTCATGCAGGTATCTGGGATCTGTGGGTAAGATCAGCAGTGCCGGGTGCGGGCTGGGCGAGCAGCAGGAGCTCAGGATCGATGAGCACAGCAGCTGTGGAGGAGCCACCAGACACCACGGCCAGTTAAAGCACAAGGATCAAAGCACCATGTCCCCTTGCTGTCAGAGATGCCCTTTGCTGCCAGGGCCCCATTTCTGCCTCTGTCTCCTCCTTGCCAGCCTGGGCCCTGCAGGGACACTGCTGTCCCAGCCCTATGAAGGGATGGTGCCTCTGGGCAGGACACAGAGGGTGACACTCGATTCTGCCACCACATCCAATCCCTTCATCTCACCCTCCCCTTCCTCGCACGTTCGGGCAGGAGCAGGGGGAGAAGCTGCCGGTGTGTGAGAGGTGCACCGAGCCCACACCCAAACGGTGCCTGGCCCTCCCTGGCCAGGGTGTGGTTCTGCCTCCTGGCTCTTCCCGATAGATTTTAGTCATCTCGCAGCTTACAAGAGAGCTCCCCTTTCCTGTTGTTGCAATTATCACAGGAGTTAGACTATCAGGCCCTGGGAATGCCCCAAAGCTTTGCATGTCTGAAGCAGCAGACCCTCTCTGCCCAGGGGCTGTGGGTACAGCTCTGAGCTGCACCCCCTCGGCCCCCAAGGATGAGCCCTGTCTGTGTTTCAAGGCCACTGTCACCCCAGTGGAGTGGGGACATCACCTCTGCCTGGCCAGAGCTGTGCTGGGAGCCCCGGCAGGGCTCTGGCAGAGAGGTGAGGAGGGCAGCACTTCTGCTCTCAGCTCCCCTGGTCCCAGAGCAGCTGTGGTTTCTCCGGAGCAAAAATATTGTCCTTGGCTGAGTTTGTGAACTCAGTGAGAACAATAAATGCCTGTGCCTCGTGCTGGGGGGCACCGCCACAGGGGGACAGATGCCAAAGGTTTGACCCTGCTCTGCTTCATTTGAATGTTCAT